GTTGTTTAAATATTTTGAACATATTTGCTCCTTGTGACCTTGAATATGATTCAAGGTCATACATTTAAACAAACTTGGTAGCCCTTGATCCTAGTATGCTACTGACTAAATATCATCACCCTGGGCATTTTGGTTATTCAGAAGAAGTTGTTTAAAGTTTTTAACATATTTGACCCCTGTGACCTTGAATATGGGTGAAGGTCATTCATTTGAACAAACTTTGTAGCCCTTCATCTCAGCATGCTACTGGCCAAATATCATCACCCTGGGCATTTTGGTTATTCAGAAGAAGTTGTTTAAAGGTTTTTTAAGACAATTGACCCCTGTGACCTTGAATATAATTGAAGGTCATTCATTTGAACAAGCTTGGTAGCCCTTCATCCAAGCATGCTACTGGCCAAATATCATCTCCCTGGGCAGTTTGGTTATTGAGAAGAAGATGTTTAAAGTTTTTAACATATTTGACTCCTGTGACCTTGAATATGGGTGAAGGTCATTCATTTGAACAAACTTTGTAGCCCTTCATCCCAGTTTGCTGCTGGCCAAATATCATCACCCTAGGCCTTTTGGTTATTAAGAAGAAGTCGTTTAAAGTAAAATATTGACGACGGACGGACGACGGACGGACGGACGACGGACGCCGCACCATCGCATAAGCTCACTTGGCACTTCGTGCCAGGTGAGCTAAAAATGAAGTTTTCATTGTGCGCTATCACCCCTACAATAAGCTAAGTGGAGGATGACCTCCCTGCTTTCAGAGGTTGACAGGCATGTCCCCATGAATGTTTGCCCAGCCCATGTCAAGCTACTTGTTGACCAATGACTCCACTGCCGGCCCATGAAATAGTGCAACCATTGAAAGTATAGTTGCCGAAGAAGCACAGTCATCAGTCACCCCAGAGTGGCGTTGGACTGGTGTAACTGGGTATTCCTCAGCTCACCTCTCAGTACTTACAGTCCACTGCACCATTGCAGCCACACAAATGATCACAATGGACAGGTGGACTTATACACTGGTTGTTGTTGGAGCAAGTTTTACCGTAAATGTTGGAACTTTTGGAACCTTTTTATTTGGCTTATTTTTTAATAAAATATTTTTGCAATGGAGACAAAAACTATCTTCTAATGTATGGACCATTACTAGACTATAGACATAGAACACATTTTGGCAAAAATTGTGTCAATCAGAATAATATAGTTTTTGGTTGTTCATGTTACACCTTTGGGTCCATGACTATGATCCAGCTCATATACATGTATAATGAAATAAAGTTAGATTTCCTGTATCTTTTTGAATTTTCTTTACAGAAACATGAAACATCCTTAGGTAATGTACTTAGAACTGTGCATACATGTGTACCGATAACAAAAATGTCCACTTGTAATGTCCATCATACAATTCCGTCTTGCATAACGTCCATCGCAATAACTGTTCATTTTAGTATAAAACTCTATCCAGGCGTTAAACATTTTTTTTCATGTTGTGTATGTGAAAGTCTATATCCTGCAACAAAATTATTAAAAAGTAATATGAAACAGGAATTCCATGGTAGTGGATGTGTCGCCTGTGCAGGAGGCTGGGAGATTGTGCTTAGCACTACATGAAGTTTGAGTTTGATCGACCCAAGGAAACTCAAGTTATTGCACGAAAAAAGATTTCCTATTTATAGTAACAGTGACCTTGACCTTTGACCTTCGGACCTGAAAAGCAATCCCAAGCAAGCACTTTTGGAAATGAAGCACTGCATGAAGTTTCATCGGCCCAAGGAAACTCAAGTTATCGCACGAAAACCTCTGTGCGGACGCTGCCGACATAGCAATATCTATATATGTGTCACCAGCTTTTTGCAGGCGACACAAAAAGGGAGAAACAAACAATAAAAAAAATAAAAAATCTGCTTGTATAGTGGGTTTGTATATAAAACAATACTAGAACACTGATCATGACAGGTCAGTATGGGCCCCGTCTTGTGGCAATTATATCCCCCATAATCATCAAGAAGCAATCTGCCCATATAGCTGAGCTTGACGTTTGACATTTGGACTTCAAAAAGAATCGCAAGGAAGCAAAATATACATTTTACATGTACTATGATGTGATGTGTTTCCTTCCACCTCCATATTTGCTGGGATAACAGAAATGTACTTACCGGTGCAATACTCATTTGTAAGCTTTGATTTGTTTTATTTCACCTTATATACCTTCTCCATCAAGAGCCAGTCCGACCAACTTTGCTTCTTAATATCATAACAAAATGTTCATCAGTGAAAAACGCAAAACTTGACCTTGACCCTTTGGACCCAGTAACCTGGAACTAAGGTCAGTTGACTGTGTTAAGTTCTGAACAACATGGCTTCATAATGTCAAAACAAAATGTTCATCAGGGAAAAGGTACAAAATCTTAACCTTGACCTTTGACCAAGTGACCTTGACCTTTGGTCAATTGACTCCTTGTTTAATTCTGAGCAACATTGCTTCAAAGTGTCATAGCGAAATGTTCACCAGTGAAAAGATACAAAATTTAACATTGACCTTTGACCCAATGACCTTGACCTTTGGTCAGTTGACTTGTTGTTTAATTCTGATCAACTTTGCTTCATCATGTCATAACAAAATGGTCATCAGTGAAAAGCTACTAAATTTGACCTTGACCTTTGAATCTCATGACCTTGACCTTTTTACCTCAGTGTGTCTCTTTGTTTAATTTCGAACAACTTTGCTTCATAATGTCAGTGAAATGTTCACTAGTGAAAAGCTACAAAATTTGACCTTGACCCCTGACCCGATGACCTTTACCTTTGATTAGTTGACTCCTTGTTTAATTCTGATCAACTTTGCTTCATAATGTCATAACACAAAGTTTCATCAGTGAAAAGATGTAAAATTTTACCTCGACCTTTGAACCTAATGACCTTGACCTTTGACCTTGACATTTTACCTCAATGTGTATTTTTATAAACTGAACATCTTGACCAAGTTTCATGTACATCGGTCAATAAATACCAAAGTTATCAGCCAGGAACAAAATTTGTGGACGGACAGACAGACAGACAGACAGAGTACTTACTATAGGGCATCCGTATCTCCAATATGGGGCCCTAATTAACAAGGGAATCAAACCCACTTGCTTTTAAGCATTATTAAAGCAAACTGAATATGTTTTCTTTTAATTTTGCTGCCAAATATAATATATTTGTTTGAATTTGTAATTTTTGGAAGGAGAATACTAAATATTTTCCGTCTCTGTCGTGTCCATCATGTTGATATGTAACATTGCTATGACAACATTTTACATATTTTTATCTTCGTATTAACATATTTTTAACTTCAGGTGTTCAGCTATTAAATAAAACCACTTTCACCTCTAAATTTTAAACTTCTTTTTTTTTGTGGTAGCATAACCGGAAAGTCGCCCATTACCTGAGAGTGACCCATGTGTCAACATGAAACGTAAACAAAGTCCGGTTGTGACGATCTGATGATGCAATCAAACCTGACGAAATATTATCAATTCAATGTTTTTATCAAATCAATGGGAGCATTTTCATGACAATGTATGACAATATATGGCTTCTTACCTTTTCAGTTATTGGTAAATGAATGCAGTGTTGTTTCTATCTACATTTCTGCAGCCCTTCTTAAAATCTGGAAAAATCTGTGGTATTCCGTTTTCTAGTCCACGTTTTTATATATGCAAGTTCCGTAAAAATGCCGAAAAAATAGACACAAAAGTTCAATTTTTAATTCCAGTGCAGTCATGAACAAACTTTTCCTTTTCACACAGGAAATATTTTCTAGTTTTCAACATACAACATTATTATTAAACTTGTTCAAGAGTGCGCTCATAGTAAACAGGAACAAATTGTGTAGAAATATAACAGGAAAATGCCATTTTTCGTGATTTTAGCTTGTTTAATTATAGATTAATGGAAATAATTAATAAAAAAAATAATCTTTATGACTGGAATTAGTAACAAGAGGCCCAGAGGGCCTGTATCGCTCACCTGGATATCTAAGCAATCATGGCAAAATGTTCTCCAAGTGAGATCCAAGGGAATATGTCAGCCCAATCATTTGTACAATTTTGAATCCCTGCCTCCCACGATTGTTTCTGACCAAATATGATCAATACCCATGACACAGTTCTACAGAAGTCGTGTAAGCAATATAGCCAAATTGCCCCCTCTCATCAGCCCCCTGAGGGGTCAGCCCCACCATTTGTACAATTTTGAATCCCCATCACCTAGGGATGCTTCCAGTCAAATTAAGTTAAATTCCAATCAGTGGTTAAGAAGAAGAAGTCGTTCAAAGAAATTGTTGACGTACAGACAATGGACGCCACAATATGGCACAAGCTCACCTTGGTCCTTTGGACCAAGTGAGCTAACAATAGAACCCTTTTAATACATTTGCTGATTTGGTTTAATGATCCGGGATATTTTATTTACCTATAAACATAGGTACCCAAACCATATACAGTCCTTTGGTTTGAATACCATTTTTTATACAAAATCAAGGTTAGCCTAATATTTTGATTCTAGGCCTTCCTGTTCTCCCAAGAGTAGTCGTTCTGACGTTTTTGAAATATTTGCCCTGTGACCTTGAATAAAGGTCAAGCTCATTTTTTTCCACAGAGTTTCTTTGGCTTTATCCTTTTCATTCTTTTCCAGAAGTTGGTGACTAGTAGGTCATGACAATTTTTCTTCACACAATTTGCTTGCCTCCTTCCTAGAAAGTTACCAGCCTTATATCATAATACTAGGCTTTTTCATTTGACTTTGAATACAGGTTAAGGTCATTCACAAACTTGGTTGGCCTATAGTCCAGGCAGGTTCCATGGAAATAACATGACTCTTTCTTTAGAATAAGTTTTTCAAACTCTGGACACCACACTATTTCATCAATTTAACAAGCTGCCTTTTGTCATAAAGGATACCCTCTATATATGGGTTTTTGGCCATTTACCTAAGATTATTGTTAATTCCATACACTTGCTTACCTGTTGTAAAGTAACCGTTTGAAGTCCTGGAACAAGGTGTCCTTATTTTTGTCAATGAAGCCAATGACACTGTATTGCACTTGACCTGCGTAGTGTTTGACTCGAAAGTCACGACTATGTTCCAAAGTCTTGTCTGATGGAGCCAGCTACAAATATTTGCACAAAATGTGTACATACTATACAAAGTTTAACAATATCACAGAGATCAGCTAACTTGCTAATGTTATTTGGGTAAGAGCTGAATATAAACAAAAGCAGACAGATTTTGCCATCCACCATCAGAGGATTTTTTCTCAGATTTACATACGATCTTTTACCTTCTTTGCTCTTCTTTTTCCCTATAAGTACTATTATTCACTGCCATGCTAAACAGATTTTGTACATCAACATACAGAGTAATTGTTCATGCCATGCTATTTGCCACTTTGGCAAATGTTATTGCATCAGAATTGTATAACTATATGCAAAATGCTAAATTTTTAATTCTTACATAATTAGAAGCCCTGCCAAAGAGGAAAGAATTCTCATTGGGGCAAGGGGTATGTTCAACACGGGACCAATGGAAATAATTAGTTTGAGAAAGATCCCTCAAGTACTTTCTGCAAAACAGATATAACAAAACTTTACTGTCAATATTCAATATGGCCACCTGTTAGCCAACATGCACAACTGGAGACCAAGGGGACAAACCTATGAAACTGTTGGTAGATATGTTATACGTTTTTGTTGAAAGCAAAACTGTAATGGCATTATTACTGCATAAATAATCATTATGTGAATATGTGGCATTATGTATCAGCATTCTTGCATGCCAACATCCATAAGCGATTTGCTGAAAAAACCTTGGGATGCTTCCTGTCAATTTGACTAAATTCCAATCAGAGGTTAAGAAAAGACTGCCATTAACAATTTTATGTTATGCCTTTAATAAAATAAAACTTTATAAATTGATATGCACGAACAAGAGATCCCAGAGGGATCTTGGCCCCCACCATTGTACCATCTTCATTATTTCTATGTCAGTTGGATATTTTCTCTTCTTTTCTCATATCAGTTTGATCGAGTCATGTAAACAGTACATGCACCTTCATATTACTTTTGATTTACGCTTCATACTGCTGTGTTTAAAAGACAACCTTGAAAACGAGTTTGTTGGTTCAAATATTTACTACTACAATGCTTAATGAGAAAGAACTAAAAGTGATCATTGCAATATGGGAAAGATACCTCGAGTACTTCTTGGGAAACAGGGATAATATTCATAAAATGTCATAATTAAAGATGATCAGCTGCAGCCATCTTGTTTTTATGATTGATCACTCTCAAAATAAAACATGCACAACTAGGGACCAAGTAAAAAATAAACAAGAGGCCCAATGGGCCTGCATCGCTCACCTGTTATTAATCTAACACTTGTAATCTTAAGATTTCATAAGAACCTATTAAAAGATTTAAACATATGACGCCTCTGACCTTGATTGTTGAACAAGGACATTAGGTTGAAAGTGGATCAAGGTCATTCATTTGAACTAAAATGGTAGTCCTTCATCCCAGCATGCTACAGGCCCAATTTCAGTACCCTGGCCCTTTTGCTTATTGAAAAGAAGTCGCTTGAAGATTTTACGACATTTGACCCCTGTGACCTTGAAAGTTGGTCAAGGTCATTCAGTTGAACAAACTTGATAGTCCTTCATCCCAGCATGCTACAGGCCCAATATCAGTACCCTGGGCCTTTTGGTTATTGAGAAGAAGTTGTTTGAAGATTTTAAGACATCTGACCCCAGTGACCTTGAAAGTGGGTCAATGTCATTCATTTAAACAAACTTGGTAGCCCTTCATCCCAGCATGCTACAGGCCCAATATCAGTACCCTGGGCCTTTTGGTTATTGAGAAGAAGTCGTTTGAAGATTTTATGACATTTGACCCCTTTGACCTTTGAAAGTTGGTCAAGGTCATTCATTTGAACTAACTTGGTAATCCTTCATCCCAGCATGCTACAGGCCCAATTTCAGTACCCTGGCCCTTTTGCTTATTGAAAAGAAGTCGCTTGAAGATTTTACGACATTTGACCCCTGTGACCTTGAAAGTTGGTCAAGGTCATTCAGTTGAACAAACTTGATAGTCCTTCATCCCAGCATGCTACAGGCCCAATATCAGTACCCTGGGCCTTTTGGTTATTGAGAAGAAGTTGTTTGAAGATTTTAAAGACATCTGACACCAGTGACCTTGAAAGTGGGTCAAGGTCATTCATTTGAACAAACTTGGTAGCCCTTGATCCCAGCATGCTACAGGCCCAATATCAGTACCCTTGGCCATTTGGTTATTGAGAAGAAGTTGTATGAAGATTTTAAAGACATCCGACACCAGTGACCTTGAAAGTGGGTCAAGGTCATTCATTTGAACAAACTTGGTAGCCCTTGATCCCAGCATGCTACTGGCCAAATATCATCTTCCCAGGCCTTTTGGTTATTGAGAAGAAGTTGTTTAGAGCAAAAAGTTGACGCCGAACAGACGGACGATGGACGATGGACGAAGGACGGACGGACGGACGACGGATGCCGCACCATAACATAAGCTCACTTGCCCTTCGGGCAGGTGAGCTAAAAATAATAAAAATTCATAAAAAATTTGAAATAGATCTGTAGAGTATTTTTGAGGAATAGTGATAACAAACTTTAACTCTTAAACTTATTCTTCTGATCAATCTCAAAAGGTGATAACAATCTTAAACAATCAACTGGCTGCCTGTTGGCCATTTTGTTTATTCGATCAGTCTCAAAAGTAAATATGCTTAATCAAGGACCAAGGGGAACGCACATATCAAAGATTTATCAAGAAGTTATTGAGAAATAATGTTTACAAACTTCTTATTGAGAAATAGTGTTTACAAACTTCTTATTGAGAAATAGTGTTAACAATTTTCTTCTTGTGAAATAGTGTTAACAAACTTCTCTTTGAGAAATAGTGTTAACAAACTTCTTCTTGAGAAATAGTGTTAACAAACTTCTCTTTGAGAAATAGTGTTAACAAACTTCTTATTGAGAAATAGTGTTAACAAACTTCTTATTGAGAAATAAATAGCACTAGCAAATTTCAAGAAGACCCCCGTGTCAGCCATCTTCTTTTCCCCTTCAGTCTCGAAATTTGATATGCATAACTATGGACTATGCAGAACCCTCATGTGAAATTTGAGAAAGATTCCTCCAGTTCTGTCTCAGAAATACTGCTAACAATCTTCAACTCTCAAACTCAATATGGCTGCCTGTCTTGGTTTTGTAATCAGTCCTTAAATTCGCTATGCATAACTAGGGACCATGGGAAACCTTCATGTGAAAGTTGAGAAAGATCCCTTCAGTACTATCTGAGAAATAGTGCAAATAATATTTGTTTAAGCATACATGCCATAACTTTCCGGTGCAAAATAGTGAAATCAGTGATTATTTTTAGTGAGATTTGTTCAAAAATTGTGAGATTAACATAAATTTTATAGCATACAACATAGTAATGAATCATTTGTGTTATTCTGAAGCCTCTAATTACTTTGCTAGAGCCAAAATTGAAGATTTATTGATATTTTTTTTAAGGATTTTAGTAAGGTTTACACGTGACATACGGTCCAGATAAAGCTATCAACATTTAAAAGTAAATAAATCACATAAAAGGCAAAAAATAACCAATAACTACTATTTTTATATATCCAATTCTAAAGTAACTTGTTTTCTTCTATTTATGTTATTTTCGTTAACACTCAATCCCATCCCGCCGGCAAGAGAATGAATTCCGGATTCAATGTCTGTGTCCGGTTTCAATTTTATAGTCACCTCCAACATTTCCATTTTGGTAAACCATGTTTTTGATTGTGATGAATTAACAGCTCTTAAGTTTCTGTTTAATATTAATATCAACTGTCATCACATATTAATTAGCAACTAGCTAGCCCCCACTTGATGTGGGGTCACTGATTTAATTGCTTAATAGTTCACACATTGGTGAGCAAGTCACCAAGGCATGCCCGCTAATTAAATCGGCTGGCCAGGCCATTCAGATCTTTCACACCTATGCTGCTAATTGGTCTGGCCTGTAATTTAGGTGGCTGGCGTGCGACTTCAGATCTCTCAGTGACCAATGTCAGTGTGAATCCATGTAGCTATTGTTTATTCACAAAGATTGACCAAATTTCGTTTCTTTTCGTGTCAGAGACCGATTTCATACCAAGTCAAAATGGCGGATATTACATGGGACGATTTTTCGTGAGATCAAAATATTTGAAAAAAAAAGCGTGAAAAATGGGTCCCATGCCGTGAGACATTTTGGAAGGCTATTTTTCTCATGCCAAAATTGTTAGATATGGCATGTATGTTTAAGGATGGACGGATGGAATGATTTGAGTAGCCCACCATCTGATGAATAAGCTAAATAAACCCAAAAGTGTTATTTTCTCTATATGAACCATAGTAAACTTAACATCCTCATCAGGGGGAAATTAGTGAACCAGGGGGTAACAAAATTGACAATTTCGATAATTTAAGCACCCTAGTGACCTTTCAATCCATGAAGATCATTTGATTCCTGCATATTAGAAACTGAAGAAGAAGGTTGTTGAAATTTTAGTCAATTTGACCCATATTGGTCCCACCCCAAAGGCCTCAAAACCATACGACTTATTATTGTATCTTAAAAGGGGGGCCATGGTGGCCAAGTGGTTAAAGCGTCTGACATTCTGCTACGTCTAGCCCATCACCACTGGGTTGCGGGGTCAAGGCCTACGTGGGGTAGTCGCCAGATATTAGCCATAGGTCGGTGGTTTTTCTCCGGGAACTCCGGCTTTCCTCCACCACCAAAACCTGGCATATGTCCTTAAATGACCATAGCTGTTAATAGGATGTAAAACACAAACAAACCAAACCAAACGTATCTTAAAGCTGGTTAACAGGAGATACATCATTATTTACAAATACCCCATTGACTGACCCCAAATCATAGATTAATTGACGATGTAATTTTCAATCGGACTCGAGCTACACTCCGAGTTCAGATTAACATTGCAAATAGAATATATCAAAAAAGGAAACATTCATTATTTTACCTACCTCTCTGCAAGTAAAATGGTCATGCTTCCCAAGTTTCTTTGCCATGACTGATAAAAACATCTGAAAATAATCAATAGATATCCTTCATACTGTGACAATTTCCTTTTTCATTGTTAATACAAACAAGCAAATTTGTGCAATTTATATCCCCCGCTTGCAGGACACATTGTAGGTTAACATGATTGAGGTTAGGTTTAAACATGTGAGTATCGTGCTGTTGAGACATAATGTATAGCTTGAAACTTGAAAAAAAAAAGAGCCCTTTACCTCATTGATTATCCGTAAATATGCACAAATCACATTGGTTGGCAAAATTGGCACGAGTTGGATGTGCATAAGGAATTTGGTTGAAACATCGTAACAATATTTACAGGTATTATCACACGAAAACCAAAGAGTACCCGAGATGGGTGGAAAGACAGTTGAACACAAACATTGTTATCAAGTTTGAAGGAATTTGGCTAATATTTGCTAGATTTATTAGACGGAAATGCAGATCGCGTTTTTCGTTAATCAAGGGGCCATAACTCTGCCAAATGGAGTCTGATGAAAGTGCTTGTCAAACTTGGCCGAGCCGTTAATGCGCTGAACTCTGTTACTAAGTTTGAAGACAATCGGATAATATTTGCGAGAGGTAATGAACAGAAACGGCAGATAATGATGTTTTTCGTTATTCAAGGGGCCATAACTCTACCAAATAAAGTCTGCTGAAAGTGGTCATCGTATTTGGCCGATCCCTTAAGGCATTTAACCCTGTGACCAAGTTTAAAGAAAATCGGTTAACATTTGTTGTAGTAATTGCTCAGAAACAAAACCCAGCAGATAATTACGTTTTTCTTTATTCAAGGGGCCATAACTCCGCCAAATGGGGTCCGCTGAAAGTGGTCATCTAACTTGGCCGAGCCCTTAAGGCATTTAACTATGTGAACAAGTTTGAGGAAAATGGGTTCATATTTGTTGTAGTTATTGCACAGACAGACAATCAAAACCCAAAATTAATATCCCCCATTTTGGTGAAAGCGGGGAAAAATAAAATTTCAAAACATAAAATTCACTGGTTAAATATCATAAATGCGATTTTTCAAGCAAATGAAATGCCATAATATTACGGTGTGGTGTTTACCTTCGGTAGACTGAATAGGCAGGAATTTTTAAAAGATTTATATCAATGAAAACAATTAGGCCAAATAAAAATATAGGCGTGTTTCCTGTTTCATCTCCAAACAAGAGGCCCAGAGGGCCTGTATCACTCACCTGAATGTGTTTAAAATAATTGGTATAAAGTAAAGATATAGCACTCAATGGCAGGTGCTGTAAGTACATATGAATTTTCAGAAAGATCCATCCAGTACTTGAGATATAGCGAGAACAAACTTCAAACAGAGCCCAACCCCTATGCCCCTAGGGGGGGTCATACCCACTGTTTATACAAAATTAAGTCCCCTTGGCCGAAGGATGCTCCAGACTAAATAAGGATAAAATCCCTTAATCCCGATGGTTGAAGAAGGATTTTAAAGGTCATACCTCTATTTCTCATATTGGGCCCTGCCCTTCGGCCCCAGGGGAGACCACACCCACTGCTTATACAAAATTGAGTCCCCTTGGCCCAAGGATGCTCCAGACTAAATTAGGATAAAATCCCTTAATCCCTATGGGAGAAGAAGGATTTTAAAGGTTTTACCTCTAATTCCCCTATAAGGCCCCGCCTCTGCCTCCAGGGGGGTTAGACACACCATTTATACAAAATTGGTTCCCCTTCACCCAAGGATTACTTCATACCAAATTTGGACAAAATCCTGTCATTCGTACAGAAGAAGAAGCTTTTTAAAAAATTTGCTATGTTTTCCCTAATGGGCTCACCAATTGAGTCCCTTTTGCCCAAGATTCTCCAGACCAAATTGGGAAGAAATCCCTTAATCCTGATGGTCGAAGGACTTTAAAAGTTTTATCTCTATTTCCCCTATTGGGCCCGCCCCTCAGGTCCAAAGGGGGGCACACCCACCGCTTATACAAAATTTGTTCCCCTTTACCCAAGGATACTCCACACAAAATATGGACCAAATCCTTTCATTCCGACAGAATAAGAAGGATTTTAAAGAATAATTTGCTATGTTTCCCCTATTGGGCCCACCCCTAAGGCCCCTGGGGGGTCAGACCCACGGTTTATACAAAATTGGTTCCTCTTCACCCAAGGATGCTTCAGACCAAATATGGACCAAATCTTTTCATTCCTACAGAAGAAGGATTTTAAAGCCTAATTTGCTATGTTTCCCCTATTGGACCTCGCCCCTCAAGCCCCTGGGGGGCCAGAACCACGGTTTATACAAAATTGGTTCCCCCTTCACCCAAGGATGATTCAGACTTAATATGGAACAAATCCTTTCATACCTACAGAAGAAGAAGGAATCTAAAGAATTTGCTATATTTCCCCTATTGGGCCCCGCCCCGCAGCCCCCAGGGGGGCCACACTCACCATTTATACAAAATTTGTTCCCCTTCCCCCAAAGATGCTTCTGACTAAACTTGGTCAAAATCTACTGGGCTGTTCAGGACAAGTAGCGTTTTAAAGGAAAAGTTGATGGACGGACGGACGGACGGACGACGGACGCTGCGCCATGGCATAACCTCACCTGCCCCTTTGGGCAGGTGAGCTAAAAATATTAACAACTATTATTTATGATAAATCAGAGTGATCTCCCCTGAAAGGAAGTGTCATGCCGACAGATCTACCAGAGTTAACTACGACAGTGTTTCTAAATTTTGTACTTAGCTTTTCTCAAGGACTTGTAAATTTTTCTATTCATTTCAGCAGTGTTTAGCAACATGATTATGATGCACTATTAAAATGAAGATAAAAAGATCGTTTTTATGGAGTTCCTATGCTCACATTTTACAACAAAACTGAAGTTATGTAATGATTGTTTTCCTCATGATATTTTTAGTGTTTCAAACTACATTATAATTACAGCACGTTCATTTTATTTTTTAGTTATTTCCAGATTTAGAAATGGAGAAAATAGGATCGGTCGGGAAACAGGAAACACAGCTACATTTTTATTTGGCCTTATAGTGATCTAGTGATAGACTTTAATCTTTCTTAACTTCATTTAGAATTGTTCAAACACAAAATCTGAGTACTTTAATGAACAAAATAATTGACCCAGTTTGACTATGGGTGTTGACATATTAGCTTCCTGAAAATCTCTAAAACTGATCAATAAATACATCAACACTATTTAATAATGGGGTAACAGTCATTACTCGTGATGTACATATATATCCCACATGTTTTTGTTGTGTTTCTTTCCTTGTAAACATGCATGCACCTGCCAAATCATTTTAGGTCCCAACCATGTGCAACACCCTATCAGTACAGATCAGTGCAGAATGTTGATGTCTCATCGCAGACATGACATTATTTGTATTGTCATAATGCTACTGTGTTTATAATTTGAATATATAATCGTTCTCTGACCATCAATCCCTGATTCATAAAACAATTGATGTTCGCTACCTATGTGCAAAACAAAGAGGTTAAACAATTGTTTGGTCCAACTGATTAGACTCTGTGTGTAAACTGCAGTTTCAACCACCCTCTACATTCTGATACATTACAATTGAACTTCAGTCAATACTCAAACAAATATTTATTACTTTGCAGCATACATACTGAACATAATACATTATTATTATTGGGAACTTGACTCTTCATTGTGACTTTTTGCTAATGTCCACTCATATTGTTTAAACTCGTGTTTAATGGGTATAATTTTGTGTAATTCAATCAGGATCAACAATATTTGTTTTTGTTTGGTCTGACCTGAGGTTTACCATTTTCAAAGGAAAAATCATCAATACCTCATCATTGACTTTGCCAACACTGAGGCAGGCCTCGTCGAGGATGGCAAGTATTCCCTTGTGGGGTTGTTCAACAAGGTCACAGATGACGTTGTTGTTGAAGTATTTGATGTGGGTCCACTCAATTCCCTCCCTCATATACTCCTCCTGTTCCTGCTTCAACACTAGCTCAATGAACAACTGCTGCAACTTCTCATTACAGTAGTTGATGCAGAACTGTTCAAAACTAAAATGACAAATTTTTTTTATCTATAAAGCTATTTTCTGCTTTATCACATTAAAATGAAAATCACAGAAAAAGTTACAGATGTGAATTGAAATGACAAATTAGTTTGATTGCCTACCTAAAATGAAGGTACTTTTAGCTGTAAAAATAGCTTACCAGTATAAACAATTACTACTCCATATATGCAATTATGTATTCTTTTATTTTCGGAATAGCCCTTTAAGAATATGAGTATAGGCTTTAATAAATTTATAGGACATTGAAACATATCTTCCTGCTGGACACTCGGAACGGTCAAGCACTTTCATTCTCTTTAATAAGAGATGTTATAGTATTTTTTGTGCTGAAACGTGAATCATTCAAACATAGAACTCAAACATACATTATACAATTATGGTTTGTTTGTTTGTTTGTTTATGTTTAACGGCCCATCGACGGCTGTGGTCATTTAGGGCCATAGTGATTTATTTATTTATTTTATTTTTTTAACAAACATGTGAGTAGCGAAGATAAAATCAGATAAAATGGTTCATTTTAAAAGCATCCGCATTGTACGTGTAGATAATAAAAAATAAAAAAGGGGGATAAAATAATAAAAGAGATAACGAATAGATGATATGGAATATGCGATATGATAAGGTGTGTTAAAAGACATCAGAGTCATACAATTATGGACTTCAAGTGAGATGAGGTGAGGTGAGGTGAGGACCTGGTCCGTAAATCAGGAATAGACCAAGACTGAAGTCCACAATTGTTTTATTATATGACATTTTACAATGAGATTAATAATTTTTCATGTCATAAACACATGGATGGTAAGGACCATTTTGGAATCACAGAGGGAAGGACTTCAAATACAAAATAGCATGCATAAAAATTTAATTTCAGATTATTCATTTTTAGTTGTATTCAGTAGTGTGATTGGTAACAGAATTACAGACTGGCTGGGAATTTATCTAGGCCTATTTTTAGTAGCGGTCTAACACTTTTCTATTTATAGGTCGAGGTCTGTAACACTTTTCTATTCATAGAACGAGGTCTGTAACATATTTACAGACTCGTCACATGACGTCGCTTCTCCAATCAGGGCTGGGAATTAGCACCAGTCATATAATAATACTTGTCATTTAAACTATCAAAGAAATCCATTATTATTTGCAAAATGCTAAATATTTGTGTTTTTTACAAAATTAGAAATGATGTCAATGCAGATGAAGACAGATAACAAGGGGCCAAGAATATATAAAATTGAACTGCTAAACTCAAGATGGCTGTCTAGTGACAATGGTGAAATTGTGAAATTTGATAGGGTTTCTAAGTACCTTGACATAAATTTGTGAATGGAATACTTAACGCTTCCATTTTCATTTAAACACACACACCAACCCCACGAAGACTGGTTACCCCCTGATTAACACACAAACCAACCCCACGAGGACTGGTTAACCCCTGATTAACACACAAACCAACCCAATGAAGACTGATTAACCCCTGATTAACACACAAACCAACCCCACGAGGACTGGTTAACCCCTGATCAACACACATACCAACACCATGAAGACTGGTTAACCCCTGATTAACACACAAACCAACCCAATGAAGACTGATTAACCCCTGATTAACACACAAACCAACCCCACGAGGACTGGTTAACCCCTGATCAACACACATAACAACCCCACGAGGACTGGTTAACCCTGATAAAAACATACAAACCCAACGAGGAGTGATTAACCCCTGATTAACACACAAACCAACCCCACGAAGACTGGTTAACCCCTGATTAACACACAAACCAACCCCATGAGGACTAGTTGACCCCTGATCAACACACATACCAACCCCACGAGGACTGGTTTACCCCTGATTAACACACACAAACCCAACAAGGACTGGTTAACCCCTGATTAACACACAAACCAACCCCATGAAGACTGGTTTACCCCCGATTACCACACATACCAACCCCACATAGACTGGTTAACCCCTGATTACCACACATACCAACCCCACGAGGACTGGTTAACCCCTGATTAACACACAAACCAACCCCATGAAGACTGGTTAACCCCTGATTACCACACAAATCAACCCCACGAAGACTGGTTAACCCCTGATAAACACACAAACCAACCCCACAAGGACTAGTTGACCCCTGATCAACACACATACCAACCCCAAGAGGACTGGTTAACCCCTGATTAACACACAAACCAACCCCATGAAGACTGGTTAACCCCTGATTACCACACATACCAACCCCACGAAGACTGGTTAACCCCTGATTAACACACAAACAAACCCCACGAAGACTGGTTAACCCCTGATTAACACACAAACCAACCCCACGAGGACTAGTTGACCCCTGATCAACACACATACCAACCCCACGAGGACTGGTTTACCCCTGATTAACACAAACAAACCCAACAAGGACTGGTTAACCCCTGATTAACACACAAACCAACCCCATGAAGACTGGTTAACCCCTGATTACCACACATACCAACCCCACGAAGACTGGTTAACCCCTGATTAACACACAAACAAACCCCACGAGGACTGGTTAACCCCTGATTAACACACAAACCAACCCCACGAAGACTGGTTAACCCCTGATTAACACACAAACCAACCCCACGAGGACTAGTTGACCCCTGATCAACACACATACCAACCCCACGAGGACTCACCTGTTGTTGTCAAAGATTTCAAATCCGTAGATATCGAGTACGCCAATGACTGTGTTCTTGCCAATGTACCCTATACCACTGACCTTCGGGTCAATCGCCTCATTAATCTGTGCCACAATCCATGTAAACATCCGGTCGTAAATTGCCTTAAAAATAAAATCAACAACAATAATTAAGTGCTAATGTTTATCCATATATATATATATATAGTAGATAATAAATAAATAAGTCCTTGCGAAGGAAAATATAGAAAAGAAACATAAATTTTTCAGATCGTCCGCTAGGCCTTTCTCCCTTCTAGGGCTTCTTCAGGCGGATTGATGTTTATTTATCACCGTTGGTTACATGACGTCATCAATATTTGTATAGTCAACAATTTTAGTGACGTCATCAATAAACAAGCATAGTGACGTCACAAACAATACCAAGACAGCTGAGAAAACATCCAGAGCTGCCAACCTTAGAGATTAAAAAATAGTAATCTGCGATCGCTTTTTTACAAACATGTATTCATTACCTTTTATTGTTTTTCTAGTGCCTTGGAAGTCGCACTTTTAGCCCTTTTCAAAAATTCTTAAACGTCTGAATGGATAATTTCCTTTTTTTCCTAAGAGAAACGTCTTCTTGCCCGTCCAGTTTGACACGTTTTTCCGCCATTTTACTTCATCTACAAACGTCCTTTTCACATTGAATTAACTCCAGCCTATCTCGAGAATCGATGCAAACACACGTGTGTATCTGATTTGCGATTATAATACTGAAAACGGACATCGGGACCGGATTACTGCGAAACTAACAAAAAAACGGAAAAATTCCGGATTTAAAAAAAAATTCGTAATTTTACTTGGAAAATCGTACTAGCGTAAGTCAGACCTCAAAATCGTAATAATTACGCCTAAATCGTAAGAGTTGGCAGCTCTGAACATCTACATACAATACATTGCAAAAATCCTTGTGCATTCAAGCTGGGTTTGAGGACTTTTATAAACATATTTTCTTTAATTTCACTTGTAACTAAATCGTCGCAATTCAGTTTGTAAATAGGTAACACATAAAAATCATCTTTAGAACATTGATGCATATGTTTGCTAGTTCATTGTCCTTCATTTGTTGTCTATGTACATTCATTCGTATTCTCAATTTACATCCAGTCTGTCCGATATAAAATTCCCCACATTGTTTACATATTAAAGAGTAAATAACATTCTTAGAATTACAGTTAATGTCTGATCTAACTTCTATTTTGGAACCATTTTCAAAAATGCAGTCTTTACATTCAATGATAATCTTACATGTACCACACCTTGGTTTCTTACATTTTTTTTACACCAGTGACAACATTTGTGGTATTCATATCAAATTTGGATGTACATAGTAAACGTTTCACAGTTTATAATCTTCTTCTTATCAAAAATACACTTTATGTTCTCAGTGTTTTTCATAAAATTTACAAAATGTTTAACGACAGGAATAAATGGTATGATATCAGCATCTTTGGTGTAAGCTCTTTCTAAATTAACACTTCTCTTTAGCTCTTTGTATGGCGTTTAGTACCACTTCAGCAGGATAACGTTTACTTTTAAGATAAAGTTTCAAATCGTCCAATCTATCTTCTAATAAAAAAAAATATCGTTAACAACCGTGACTAATTTCGATGCTAAACCATATGGAATGTTAAGTTTTAAGCTTGGATTTCTTTTCAAACCATGCTAAACACACTAATAGTGTGTTTAGCATGATTTGAAAAGAAATCCAAATAATTGTGAGAATCTGTAGGTTTACAATATATCGCTGACAATATTGTCCTTTAATTTCTACAAAAATATCCAAGATAGGTATTCCTTTTTCACTTTACTTCATTGCGTAATTCAAACCGGGATGCAAGGCATTTAGCATATTGAAAAATTCCAGAAGATTCTCACCTGGAGGCCAAATAATAAAGCAATCATCTAGAAATCTCAAAAAGTTGTCTTTAAATTTGCAAAAGTAACACTTAAGGTGGCTCGACACATCGTCATCAGCGTCCATTTTCGTGACATACTTCCGTAAAAAGTACAGCTAGGACTCAATTATCTTAATCGAAATGTGCATGTACACCGTGTCGTCATTTCCGTATTGCGTATCGGGCATTCAATATCGTAGTGCAAATTATAGTAACACCTGCTGGGCCGTTTTCGTTTAAACGGTCAAACCGATCGGACCACTGTTGTTCGTTTATTAAATAAGGTCGGACCTAGTAATCTGATGCTGCTTTCAGGCGAGTCTTGAGAAAGCCTTGCAAGGCCTGCATACACATTTGCAGGTCCGCCAGGATTTACACCCGAAATTGTTACATTTATAAACGGTCAAACCGGTTGTTCCGCATAAACGAACAGGCCCATGGTAAACAATAGTACACGTGCGTGCCGATGATATGTCAACACCCGATATCAAGATTTTACCGGGAAATGTATACTCACACGTACTTCAGGAATAAAGCTTTCCAATTCATAGACATAAACAGACTCACGGGAAGACAGTGACATGAGACCAGACGACCTCAAGAAGGTCATATAGGAAACACATGGAATGCGGACGTACCAACCTCACATGTGCATATCGCGTGTTTACACGAGTTCATAAGCTCGAGGTCGTTACGATTTTCGCTGTTGAGGGAGTTTCGCTCTGTCGATTAAATCGTGTTTACAAATGTAGTCTACTAGCTTACTCTGTGAAAATAATGTTTTGTAAAATATCAAGATACCTATGAAATGCATGTGTGAGTGCACGTGAGAACGGTATACCATGCGATAGCCTCTGGTCTGACATGTAATTATAAATATACCGTGAGTTAGCGGACTGTGGAATGATGTCCAAAGTGTACATGACTGAGGGTAATTTGGTTCCATTAAAGAACAATAAATTGATAATTTTGATATCATATTTTTGATTTATTTCCATCATTTTTGTTATATGTAAACAGAGACAACTGTCATTGTGTAAATGTCACCCCTCTGCAAAAAGTTCCGATTTTTTTCAAGGAAGATAACTCTCACCCGGATCAAAGTGATTGTAAAATGTAAAATAAATTAATTATAAAGCCATTGTGTATATTTTGTTCAATTTCCCACTCTATATGTATAGAACTTTGTGTCCTGGGTGCTTTTAGCTTGTAGATAATCACTTTTATCCGTACAAATTCAATAAAAAACACTTTGTGTAACATGTGTTACATATTTTGCGATAAATAAAATATTTGTAGGGTTAATTAGAAATGCTTCTTTTCATTTTATTATTGTTGTTATTGTTCCGAACAATGCCACACACAAAAAAAAACGGAAAATATTAGAATTGACGAAAATTCAATTTTTTGGTATTTTTTCCAAAAAATTCCCCAAACTATCGGAATGTTTAGATTTTCATAAAATCAACTCGACATAGTTGCATAACAATTATATGAAAGTTTCAACGAATTTTGCTGGTTAATTGCGAAAGTGTGGAGCCACCTTAATGTATTTCTACCATTTGTATCAAGTTTATCTTCTTAATACCCAAGGACAAGCATCGCATAGGTAGGGGCCATCTTTGTTCCCATTGCAGTACATTTACACTGTTGGTAAAAATTACCATTAAAATAAAATGTTTTCCAATACAATTTTTAATGCTTCAACAATAAATTGTTTATCAAATCTAGAGTCTACTTTTCCGGGACAATTATTCAACCGATAGCTAATGGCCTCAATTCCCAAATTATGTGGAATATTTGTATACAAGCTTATTACATCAAAAGTTACAAATTTACAATTCTCCTTATATAAATGAAGACTAGTATAATCGGCTAGTGCTTTCACCCATCTTGGAGCTCTTCAGGCAATTAAAATTATCTCTTTATGCCCAGCACCTAGGGGTTAAGTCTACAAGGGTGGGGCAGACCCCAGGGTCAATACTCATATCATGACTGCATTGTATCTTTGTGCCCAACAATTGTATATGTAGTTTTCGGGTGCGGATCTCAATTGTTTCAAAGCTATGACCCAGGGACTATGTCATCCTGGAAGCAAATGTGCATTCTTCTCTTTATACTCAGCAATTGCATACATGGTTGTAGGGTGCGGATCTGAACCATTTCCAAGTAATAAACTATTTTTGGCCCCACCCCTTAGCCCAGGGGGTCAGCCCCACCATTTGTACAGTTTTAAATCCCCACTACCTAGGGATGCTGCCAGTCAAATATGGTTGATATCCATCTCTTAGTTACAGAGAAGAAGTTGTTTAAAGAAATATAGCCAAATTGTCCCCTTTTGGCCCTGACCCTCAGCCCCCTGGGGGGGTCAGCCCCACCTTTTGTACAATTTTGAATCCCAACTACCTAGGGATGCTTCCAGTCAAATTTAGTTAAATTCCAATCTGTGGTTAAGAAGAAGTCGTTGAAGAAATTGTTGACGTACGGACGACGGACGCCACAGTATGGCATAAACTAATAATGGAGTGAGCAAAATACAAAAGAAATTTAACAACGTTTTAACCAGTGATGGCAAAAACCAGAAATTCTTGATCCTTGTGTTGTCAAAAACCCTGAAGAGTTTTTGCACCAGTTAATTATGGTCTGGCAAATTAACCCCCGATTGATCAGGTTCTTGGGTCAATTTTGGTGTAATGAGTTTGTACTCTTGAAATACAAGGCAAACCAAAAATTTAGTTAGAGTTGGTAATATCTTATAAAACATTGACCTTGAAACCTAAAAACAAGAGGCCCAATGGGCCTGAATCGCTCAACTGGTATTAACCTCACACTTTGCAACTTGTAACCTTAAAAGTGGACTAAAATACAGCTGCAGACAAAATATCAGTGTTCGATTCAAAAGAATATATTAAAAACAAGAGGCCCAAGGCCCCACGGCCTGTATCGCTCCCCTGAATATTTCAGATGTCATAGCAAAATATTCTCATTAAATATTATATTGCACTAAAAATATTTCCCTCGCAAACTTTGTTGGCTAAATCTGTTCAAACTACCAGCAAAATATTATTACAAGAATCTACGCTTTTTGATTCTTCAAAAGTTGCTTGACATATTTTTCCCTGTGACCTTGTAAGTAGGTCAATGTCATTTTCCTTCTCAAATTGGTAAGATCTATTCCAAAAGCTACCAGCCAAATCTTATGAA